AAAACAAAACAGTGAAACTTTAGGTTAGGTTAAAACAATTTATCTTGGGCTGGCCAAATAGTTCAGTGGATCAAAGCGCCTGCAAGCAGGTGCAGGGAGCGGGGGTTCAATGCCTGGGCCTGCTGTGCCAGCCCTGCCCCTAGGGCACGCTGAGACAGTGATTGAGACGGTGTGGTGGTGCGCGCCTGTAATCCCAGCACTTGGGAGGCTGTAAACAGGTAGATCACCAGGAGTCCAATCTAGTAGTGAGACCCTGAACACCCTGTAGACCCTTCCCTAAAGTACAGAAAAGAAATTATCTCAATAAAATACTCATTGCCAATAATCCCCCTCAGAATATGCACTCTTGCTTTAAACACACCTATTTCATCATTCTTGCCACTTTCTCAAGAAGTTCTGGAAATCTTTTGTGATTGTAGCTGCATTGTTGTGGCTTCATCAGTGTCATGAATTGACTCCAAACGTGGACCTCTGACGATCAGTGTAACTTCAGGGTGAGCCAGAAGCTGCACACACCAGATGTGAAGAGGAAGGTGGACTAAGGCGCGCTGCAAAGGTTTCCACTGGTGGCACATGGCAGCAGCATTCACTGCTTTTTTTCTTCAGTGTTTTGAGATGGTATCACTACTCAGTTCAGGCTGGCAGATGTGCAGTGATCCTCCCGCCTTCGCCTCCCGACTGCTGGGATTACAGGCGCGCGCCACCTCGCCTTTTTTACATTATTATTGTAATACTCCATAATGACATCCATGAAATAGGACTTCGAGAACTGTTTCAGAAGGTGGCAAAAACAATAGGTTAAGTGTTGAGAGTGAGGGGGAGTACTTTGAGGGAGTTAATGTGTCCTTTACTGTAAGAATTTTTAAATATTCACTGTATAGTTTGGTACCAGGGATTGAACATGGGGCCTTGCACTTGCCAGGGAGGTACTTAGGCCACTAAGCTATCTCTGCAGCCTCACTCTATAGTTCAATCATCTCTTGTTTGTCTTCCAACATTTACCATTTCCCTACAGTGAACACATGCAAAATATTTTCTTTTGGATTTCTAAGAAATAGAATATACATGATCTGCAGCAGTTTTGTCCAACTCATACCCTGCCTTTTGCCCTTTTAAAAAAATTATACTAAAAATATTAAGAAGTTTCATCTCTCATATATAATAATCATTGTG